TATTCGTGTTCAGGGGGTCAAATAACCCCTAGAGACGGCACCTAGCGAAATCTGAGGTTCTGACTCAGCTTCGAAAAAATTGGGGTAAGGTTAGTCATGGCTGACTCAACGATACTGCGACTAGCATACTGATGATGACTGGTCTTGCGAGCTGAAATAACTCTTCAGTCATGTCTTTTCGCAAACAACAGTACCTGGCTTACTTATTTGTGCCGTCTGCATCATTTTCTTGACTATCGGGAGGAAATCCCATCCCAAGACCAGTCATCCATGGTGGGTGGACCCCAGCCTGCTGCTAATTGCCCATAGAATGGCCCACATTTTCCAAGTTAGGTCGAAACGTCAGATTTGGCTAGAAACTTGTCCCCAGGGGCAAATTGACCCGCTGAACATGGATATCATGGTATTTCGTTGCAAAAACCCTTGTAACATGTGTTACGAGGGGGGACAAGCACAAGCACTCTTTCAGCCATAATGGGTCTACACTTTCAAACAAAAACTGATCGCAGGTCCCCTTACAGGATGGTGCAGTTAGAAGCCTCGTCTGCCATATTCTTGGACAAATGCAAAAATGTGCTACCCGCCGGGACTTGATCCCACGACGTCTCGCCTAGGAAACCCACTCGCTATCCGTTGCGCTCTACTACCACGTTTCAGAAGGACTCCATACATTTATGTAAAGACGCTTCCACGTTTGCTCGCGATAGCATGTAAAACAACTATGCGGGGATAAACCCCTCCATAACTCCGCTCAGAGACTCGTTCCGCAAATTCTGAAGACAGATTTGAGTTCACCGTCTCAAGACGCGCACAACGGTGTGCACCTCATTGGAAATGGCCAGGCTGACCTGATGACCTTTCTTGGTCAGTTGCCTGCAGTGTTTGTCTCCCTCCATACAATTTCAACGTATTTCAGTTGTATCAGCGTTCGCCTTGGAAGCTTTCCCACCTAATGATGAAGGGACAGCAGTAGCACAACGGTTACAGCACATTCTCAAGGTGTTACACAATAATACAGAAGTGTTCGAAGCCGTTGTTCAAGCCGCTCAGCTCGACGAAAAGAAGACGGAGACATTGCGCGGCTTGATTTCATGATTTTCGAACTTGTTTTGACTACGTTGTTTTGTTTGTGCGATGTAGATCGTTGTTATTGTTAATGAGCGGCCGTTTCACCATATCGCTCAATCTCCTTACAGTTGTTTTGAGTGTGAAAACGTCATGAATATTCATTTATAATTTCATTTGCTTCGCCATGTATCTAGTAGTGTCCTTGTGCCCATCAACTGTATGTCGTATTTTTATTCCTTTTGCGAATTTTACACATTGCTTGAATGATGGAGCCTTAGGCTGCGTTTATACTTTGCGGCAGCGTAGCGTAGCGCTTCCAGCGTACGCCAGCGGCAGTGCCGAAGAGAGGATGCATATCGATCTAGCTTCACCAGCGTCACCAGCGGCACGCTAGCGTACTCCAGCGTTTCACCAGCGTTTTGCTAGCGTTTGCAGCGGCAGG